TTCATGTGCTGGACTGCAAAGTCGGCTTGAACTACAAAGTTGGTGGTTCAAGCTCACCAACTGCTTCTCAGAAACCCTATACAGGGTCACTATGAGTTGGAATCTACTCGACACCACTTAACAACAACAATAGTGCAGCATTTGGAGTTATGTTGTGGCACTGTAGGAAAAGCTCTGAATTGTAAGGTCCGTTTGAACCTCAAGGTCACCAGTTCAAACCCACCAGCCACTCCTTGGAAACCTTATACAGGGTCACTATGAATCCAAACCACTCCTTGGTACTAAACAACAACAACATGCAGTATTTGTATGTTAATTTGCTAAATCTGACCCTGTTTAACCAACTTGAAAAGGAAAGCTAGCAGCTTGTCCAGACCACACAGCTGCTGGTCAGCCTGTATTCTTTCCACAACATCATTAGTCACAGAAAGAAAGCGCTGTGCTTAATTTAATAAAGAATTGTGTGTAGGGGGGGAGGGGGTTGGGGGGGGCAGGTAGAAAGCATAGCTAGGTAAATGACTGTTAGATCCTCCTGTTCTTTACCCATGCTAGTGGATCCATGACAACTTGTACCACGAGCTATATATAGCTCAGTCGGGCATTCATCTGATGGATATTTATGAGGGTCCTCCTAGATGCAAGATTGGAGCTACCTTCTTCAGACTGATAAACAACAACAGTTGCATTAAGTGGATTCCAACTCATGGTGACTCGGTATGTGCAGGATAGAACTGCTCCATAGGGTCTTTAAGACTGTGAAAACTTTTCAGAAGCATATCACTAGGTTTTTCTTCTCAGTCACCTCTGGGTGTTTTTGAAACAGCAACCCTTCAAGTAGTAGCAGAGAACTTATCTGTCTGCATCACCCAGGAATACCTCTTCCCCAAATCGTGTAACCCACTCTAGGACCTCAGCTAGTGAAAGCACCAAGCCCTGGGACCAGAGATAAAGGAAACTCAGTCATTCCGAGGGTCGGCTTTTCTGAGAAGGCTAAGTTTCTCAACCCCGCAAAGATCTGGGGATTACATTTAAACCAAATCACTGAAATAGTCTTTCCCTTTGATGAGCCTGTCGGGCTTCCTTCCAACACCTGTGTTGTCGTTATGTGCCATGGAGTCGGCTCCAACTCATAGTAACTCTGAACAGGGTTTCTGAGGCTGTAAATCTTTACGGGAGCAGAAAGCCTCATCTTTCTCCCGTGGAACAGCTGGTAGTTTCAAACTGCTGACCTTG